TGCCGGCCACGTCGCGGTGCGCCTTCTTGTGCTCGGCGGGCGACGCGAGATGCGGTTTCGACCAGAGGCCGCGACGCACGCGTCTATGCAAGTAAGAATCATTTCGTCAGTCTTCTCCACCTGGTCGCATCCCAGCACGACGCACGACATGCATCCGCCCAACGTACTTTGCCTTGGCCTCCTCGTTCTCAAACGCCTCCTTCATCCCGCCATATTCCGCGCCGGCCTGCCGGTACACGACCGCGAGCCCCTCCCGCAACAAATCCACCGACAGGTTCCGCCAATACCACGGCATCCAGACCGGGTACGGTCTGTACCAGACCATCGCGACGGCGCGATCGTACTGGTCGCGGCGAAACACGTCAATCTGCACGTAACCAGCGACGCCACCGACCGTCGGCGACCGGCGCGACTGGTTATCGTCGATCTGGGACACGGCCGTGGAAAACGTGCCGCGCGCAAACTTGGCCGCACCGGGACGCACGGTGGCGCCGGGCATGAGTCGCGAGACGGTATACGCCATGGCCTCGTACGAGAAGGGCTGTGCGGTCATCCCGAAGTGCGCGGCTTCGGGGCAGTCGATTCCTGCGAGACGCACGGAAATGGTCACGTCTTTGTTGCGCAGGCGGCCGGGCAGTTGCGACGGGGTGAATGGGCGCAGGGTCGGCGTGTGATAGAACCTGCCGAGGGGAGGAGGGCAATGGTCAGCGACGCGACCGCGTCGTCGTCGTGGGTGCAAGAACGTCCGTACCGGAACCCATCGCTGTCGCCGACCGACACGGCGTACCCGCGCAACCTCAACGGCTTGCTCGTGGTCCCCTTCGCCGGCGCGCGCAGCGGGATCTCGCCGGCCGTATTGAACCGCGTCCACAGCGTGTTATTCCGCTTGGCCACCCCCAACGCCACAACCCCCACGACCGCCCCCACCCCCAATGCGGTCGCGAGGTTCGGGTAGGCCGCAGCGTAGGCTGCCGCAGTATTGCGCGCGGAATGCGCCGAGTCCATGGCGACGGCGAGCAGCGCAAACAGGGCCGAGGCGAGGAGGCGCAGGAGGGACCGCAGCCAGAGCGGGAGCGTGGAGAGCGATTTGAGCCAGAGGTCCACAGCGGCGGCGAGGCGCGCGCTGGCCGGGCGCGAGGCCGTGGAGAGGGCCGGGTTGAGCAGTGTCGAGACCGGAATGGTGGCAGGTGGGGGTTGACGACTGGGCACGGGCACGGCAGATCAAAGTCGAGCGCGACAGACGACCGACCAGCAGTTTGGTGGTGACCCTCGGTTTTTGGCCGATTGACGACGACGAAGACGACGACGACAGGCACAGCTGTCGGATGCTGGCGAAGACGTGTCGTGGCGATGGAATGGTCGCAGTGGTCGTGACAGGTCGTGGAGACGCGCAACAGCGTCAACGCAGGCCGCCGGGTCGTGTTCTCAGCCAACGAACACAATCCGGCTCGTTTTGTCGCAGATTGTCGGCAAGTGGGCGCTCCAGTCGGCGCTCGAGTCGGCGTTCAAGTCGAGAAAGTGCAGTGGGTCAGGATGTGAACGGAGAGGACGGGCAGACGAATCAGAGGTTGCAGAGACAATAAGAAAATGTGAGAGCTCATGAGTTCTGCAAACACATTAATTAAGGAATCTGTTTCTTGCAGGGCACAACCGCTTTTGCAGACTTGGTGAAAGGGGGGAACAACTGTTTCCAGAAAAGGCCAGAAGCCAGCGACAATTGATGATTGTTGGTCACAGATCTACAAGGACGGCTACGACTGGCTCGCGCGCAGCTCAAACTGGCGCGCGCGCTCGGCATTGCTCTGCTGCAGCTGTTCGAGGGCCCTAAACTTGGCCTGAATGGTGTTGCGCGCCTTGGTGCTCTCTTCGTCGATGGTCTCTTGGTCTGACGGCAAGCACATTCCCGTCAGAACGAGGTGAACAGGCAGACCGTCAAGACGGACCGGTACCCTTCAATAACCTCTGGATGATCTGTGGTGTCTCGAGACGCACGAGCATGCCACCCAAGTCCATCCAGCCCTTGGTCTTGGGCGTGCTGGCCTTGCGCAAGTGCGTCAGGGCCTCGCGGTTGGCGGTGCGCTGGCGGTCGAGGTCGGCGAGCAGGCGTTGGGCCGCAGCAATGTCCTCGACGAGCTGCTCGGCCGTGGCGAGGGCTGTTCATTGCATGGTCGTTGCTGGGTCAGGGCCGACTGAACATGCAGCGATGGCTGAACTGGCTGGGACCGCACCAGTCAGGTACTCGTCGGTGTTGGCTGCATTCTGGTTGGTGGATGCGGCACTGGAGTGGTTTGCGGGCGGTGACGCGCGGCGTGCCGAGGCCATTTTGGGCGGTGCGTCGTTGATCGCGGCTGCGGCCAGAGCGGACAGGAGGTGGAAGCGCGAGACGTGTCTCGCAGTTCCCCCGTGCCAGCCCAGCTCGTGGCCGCCCGGGTGCTCTTTTGCGGTGAAAGCGGAGGCTGCCCTTGGTGCACGTGCACTCGACAGGGGCAGCAGGCGGCCTGCCGCACCCGTCGGCGTGCCTTTACGACGGCGCGTGGGGCGCGTCTCCTGGCCAAAACCAGCCCGCACGAGAAATCGTCATCAAGCGCGCAGCCTGATCCCGACGATGATGGCAGCCAGCCTCGCCGCACTCGGCCTGGCCACGAATGCCGCTGCGCCGGCGTCCCCCACGTCGGATCCGCTCACGGCGACGAGCACGGCGCCCACCTTCACTCTCGCGCTCAGCCGCCCACGCGCCGTGTCGGCCGCCCACTCGCTCTCGTCACTTGCCGCGTCCGACGGCCCTGCCCCCGGCCCAGCTACGCAAATCAGTGTCAGCACTTGCGCTCGCCTTCGCGTCCGACTTTGCCGCGGCCTCGGCGACACCAGCAGCGCACCAGAAACTGCGCGCGCGGTCGCGCGCCAACCTGGCCTCGTCCCCCACCGCGTCAGCGCTCGAACTCGACCGCATTCTGACCGCCGTCGAGTCGCAGCTGCAGACGGCCGACAAGACCACGACGATCAAGCTCGCCGACCCGATTGCATCGACGTCGCCAACTCTGCGCATCGCCCCGCCGCCACCGCTGCCGTCAGACCCGTGCGTGTTACCGCGCACGGCGTCGTTTCTGCTGCAGGTCACGCTCGGCGAAGCGCGGTTCCCGCCGTTCCAGGTCGCCCCCGCTGCTGATGCGCGCCGTGGCACGACTGCCGGTCCTGGGCCCGTTGGGAAGAAGGGAATTTCGATTGCGGCAGCGGTTCCGTCGCCGGGATTCGGGCCCTCAAAGCTCATGCGCCCGCCGGGATTCGCGCCAACCGCGCCGTGGACGGCTGTGACGGCGTCGCAAGTGAGCACTTGGTATGTGGTTTCTGCACCGTGTCGTTAGGATACGGATGCTGCCGCTGCCGCTGCGGCTCGCCTCTCCCCGGGACCCCGCACTGTCAAGTACTTTCCGGGGGTACCTGCTCTCCACCTCATCTCCGTGTCGGATCTAATACTCACCCGATCTGCCCCCACGTCTCACCTCGACCATGCCGCTCTTCTCCACAACGACGCTCGGGTCGGCCGACGTCTCCCCGACCGACCCTGGCAGTACGCGGCGGCAGAGTATCAGTTTCGCCGGCTTGAGCCCGCTCGCCGACTCGCCCCCGGCGTCCCCAGCATTCCTGCGGCTCCGCGGCAGCGGCAGCACAGCCAGCTCCCGCAACCGCTGCGCGGTCGGCGTCGCGCGCGGCGCCCGGCGAGGAACGACGCGCGAGTATTGCGACCGTCGCGATGGGCCACCGCGTGTTACGTGCGCAATCGACAGCGGCGACAGGCGGTGGGGCCGCGGCGGTCGCGATGGCGCTGGATGGGCTCGGCGCGTCAATGGCGCATCTGGCGTCGGCGGTTGCGGCGCCGTCCGCGGCGATGGCGGTGGGGTTGCCGGTCGCGATTGCGGCGGTGGGTGCGGTGGGAGGGGGTGGGAAGCCGAAAGTGCGCACGCAGCATGAGGTGATGGACGGTGGAGCGGAAGCGGATCGAGGACGGGAAGCAGCGGGAGCGAGAGGCGCGGCGGGAACTGGAGGCGGCGCATAGTGCGCGGTACCCGTCTTGGTCTAGTCGCGTGCGACGGATTGGAACTGATGGTGGTGGTGTGGGGGGATGTTGGGATACGTTCTCGCTGCGGTCCGTGATCCACGCGCGTAGCCCGCTTCTCGCCCAGGCGATGCCCACCGCGCGCGATCAGACGCACCGCGTCCTCGAGCAGTCGAAGGAAATCATGCAGGCCGCGACGCAAGCGTACGTCCCCGCCTCTTCTCCCCGCATCACGCCATGGATCATGTTGCTCACTCACTTTTGGGTCTAGTCGCGTCGACCTCTCGCAACGCCAACGCACCCGGCGCGGCCGCGGCCGCCCGGCCCCCGAACTCGGCACGTCCGTCGATCTCGTCGAGGACCCGGCGGCACGGATCGCGTCCGCGTCCGCTTCGGCCACAGCGGCCGCGGCAGCTGTGGTCGAGGCCGTGGACAAACCTGTGCTTCCGTCGCCGCCGCCACGCTGCGCGACGGGTACGGTGGGAGGGAGCGCGGGTGGGGTGATGGCGGGCCGTGCGGCAGCGTTGCGGTTGACGGTGCGAAACAAAGCGGATTTGGCAGTGTTGAAGGGACTCAGTTTGGGGGCGTTGGTGGATGAGCTGGGGGAGGTGGGTGTGATAGGCGCGGAGATGGGCGGGGGGGTTTAGGTATGGAGAGAGAGAGCAGACTGAGCGCGCGCGACTTGAAGCGATGTCGAATGAAGGAGACGAGCGCATGCTTTGACTGGCACGAGAAGGTCCCAGTGCCGTCGCGACAAAAACGCTCCTTGCCAGGCCTGTCGAGAGTGACACATTTATCCCTTCCGTTGAGGACCTTGGCTGTCAAAGGCCGAAATGTACATACAAAATGAAACAGGGTCCTCTCGGCCGCATCGCGCACGTGCCAGATGAGGATGGATGCCGGCCGCGGCAAAACAAATATGAAGATCGCCAAATTGCAAAAACAATAGCGTCTGCAGGTTTCGATCCTGCGACCTCAGGGTTATGAGCCCTGCGCGCTTCCCCTGCGCCAAGACGCTGGCACCGAGTGAGGTTTTAGATTAGGTTTTTGACCCGGTGTCAGATCTCAAGACGCTTTTCGATATAAACCGGTGGTCGACATTTCGCCCAACCCTGATCCTGCCTCGCGGGAGTCTCTCGGCTGCGGTTCAGCGCTTGCCCCGCGCCGGTTTCCAGCGCGATTGCTCGCCGTTCGCTCTCTCTCTCCCCGGCTCCCCTCGCCGTCGACTTGTCCCTGCCGCGCCGGATCACTGTCCCCGTCGCCACCTCCGCTCGCCCGCCTCTTCGCCCGACTCGCTCGTGATCCTCGCGCCCACCGCCTCCGCCAGCACCATGTACTTTGCCGCCCCCACGCCGTCGCCGTCGCCCTACCCGTTCTTCACCGTGGCCCAGGCCGCGCCGACCAACTCGTGGCCGACCCCGTCGTTCCCGACCCATCCCGCCGCCGTCCCCGGCGCCGGCGCGATGCGTCTCGCGCGTCCCGGCAAGCGCAAGGCCGACACGCGCGACGCGCCCGTCGCGCACTCCCCCACTGCGGCCATTTGGACCCCGCCCACGACGCACAACGACCACCCGGCGCCCAAACGGCACCGTCCCGTCCCCACGACCCCGGAGATCTCGATGACCGTGCACCAGTACGACCCGACGCAAGCGACGCCGATGGCCGTTGACGAGGAACCGCCGCGCACGGGCGGCCGGATGGTGGATGCCCGGAAATTGGCACGCGTCATGGGCTGCGACCGCGAATGGCTGGCGCCGCCGACGCCCGCGTGGGCGAACGATTTGGTCGGGTGGAGCCGCGCCGCGCGCACGCAGAATGTGGCGTGGGCGGCCGAGGCCGAGGGGGTGGTGCCGACGGTGACGATGAGTGAGGAGTGCCCGTACTGAACTGTCGAGTCACCTGTCGAGTGGAAGTGGAGCTGGCGCCGCAACGCCGCGCGCCGCTTGTAGATCTGTGCGGGAAGACGACGTCGTCCCGGGTTCGGGCGCCGTCGAGCAAGCAAGGCCTGTGTGAACCCGTCGTGTTTTGCGTTTTTTTCTCATTAATCGTTTGGTCGTGTCTTTCTTGTGTCACGGTCCGGCTCGGTTCGCCCAGGGCGGCGACGAGCGGCCGGCCATCTCCATGTATTTATCACTTTCTCTTTGAAACCTCGTTTTGCGCTCGTCCCGGTGACGATGGTTGCGTCGGTGTTACCAATAAACGTTTTGGCCATGCAAGTTTTTGACCTGCGTCGCTTCGCGTGCAGCCTGACCCGATGCACGTCGGGTGGAGAGCGCTGCTGGTCGGGTGGAGAACGTTGCCAGCCGGGTATTGCACCAATCCATGTTGTTCCAACAAAACTCATCCACGCAGTTGACGGCAGGGACGTGCTGGCCGTCCCCTCCACACGGGCGCCGCGACCAAAAGAGCAGAGCCAAACGGCGGCGCACCTGACCGCGCAGCGAAGCATGGCGCGCCCCGCAAAATGATACGTACATACAGAACACAGCGGCCACCCACCACCACAGCCCTCCCCACGCGCACGGCACGCGCGCGCAGCCGGTTAGTGGAACGACATGCTCGACGCGAGCGACCCGCGCGTGCGCGCGTTCGTGCCCGACAGCGAGCAGTAGTTGGCCGGGAAACTACCCTCGCGCCCTTGGCACCGGCCAAACCACCACTCGTCCTGCGTCGTGCCACGCTTCAGGACCGTGATCATGTCGCCCTTGCGGAAGCCCAAGTCGCCCTCCTGTTGCGCTTCGAAGTCGAACTATCGGCGAGAATCGGGGTGGGTTGGAGATGGAATGCGGTTGGAGGGTGGGGAAGGCAGACGTACCAGGGCAACAGCAGTTTCCGGGCGCGGCGCGACGGTGGGCGGGGTCGCGGGTGAGACCCCCACGGCGGCCGGCGGGACGACGATCGACGACGACGGCCGCGACGAGATGGACGATTGCGACGCGACGATCATCGATGGCCGCTTGTTTGCCGTCGTGTCAATGGCCGAAACGGCGGGCGACGCGACCGACGCGAGCGATGGGCGGTGGTCGATGGCCGAGTGCGCGGGCGACGCGCTGGAGAGCGTCGGCACGCCCGTACCCGACAGAGTCGGGACACCCGACCCGGAAATGGTCACACCCGCGGGCGGCGGGCCAGCCAGCGGCTTGGTCGCGGGCGTCGAAATGGGCGTCGGGAGAGACGTGACCGACGTGGTCTCGCCCGCGATCGACGGCTCGGCGCTGGACGGCACGGTCGTCGCGAGGTCGAGCGCCGCGTAGAGGTCGTTCGCGAGCGCCGGTGCGGGCACGGTCCCGGACAACAGTTCCTTGGCCTTGACAGGCCGCCCGTAAAACTTTTCGTTCGCGTCCTTGCGCTCCAGAATCACCGACCCTTCAATCGAGATCCCCGCAAACAGGCCCTTGGACTTGGAGTACGAGTAGACGGCCGCCATGTTCTTGGCCGTCGCCGACGCCTCCGCCGTGCGGCCGTACGGCCCGGCAGCCACCGACAGGCCGCCGCCGAGCGTCACGTTACCGCCGTGCGAGAAGGCCTTGACGGCGGCCTCGGTGTTGAGCACGATCACGAAGTCCGTCACTTCGGCCCCGATTTGGCCGCCAAACGACATGCCCGCGGTGCCAATGGCCGAGGGAGCAGACCACCCACCGTCGGGCAGGCGCGCAATGACGAGCCCGGACCCGGCTTTCCCGGCCCACATGAACCCGGCCTTAACGACGGTCAGAATCGCGATACCGCGCGCCTTGTGCAAGATGTCCCATGGGATGAACTGGTCGGTCGGCATGCCCTTGCCTATCAGCACGCCGTGCGTGCACCGGTTCGTGTCAGTCCACCGCACCCAGCGAACGAACGTGTCGGGGACGCGCGCGACGCGCCTCACGCACCCGAGATGCCCGGCTTGATAAACTGGTTGAGGATCTTGGCGCACTTGCGGCACTCGGCACCGAGGTTTTGCGGTAACGGGTTCTTCATCGTGACGGGCTGGTGGCGGCAGGGTCGGGCAGAGTACGGGGACGTTGCTGGTGCTCGCGCTGGTCGGCCTCACGGGGGACGATGCGTGCAAAAAGGTGGGGCCCGGGGTCGGCAGCGACTTGCAGCGACCTGCAGCGTGGATTGGGAGCGTGGAGAGAGCGAAAGAAGGAGAAAGGACGGCGCGGGCAGGGAATATGGGGCTCGGCCCTGAGCAAGAAGTGGAGACGGGTGATGACAGCAGGGCTTGGCGCGCACCCATGCAAAGACGCGCTGGAAAAATGAGAACAGCGCGGGCCTTTCGCACGAGAACCGCAAGCAAAAGAAGGTCACGTCAGCCATGCCCAACGATCAGACCAAGTGGATCGTCGGGGAGATTTTTCCTGACCAGGATCCGAACCATGGACGCGACCCTGGAGACGACGAGATAGTCACGATCCGCTCGTTCTTCTTCTTCTTCTTTTTGGCGCGAGTTGATGGGCGGTCGACCGTGCCGTGATGGGGCAGTCCTGTCCGATGCGAGCAGCCCGAGTCCATGGTGCTGACCGACGCAAGCCCGCGCGCGCAGGCTCCAAGAGGAAAGCACAAAACTGTCTGGTTCTTATTACACGCCGACGCGCCGTTGCTCGGCCCTCTTCACCCGACCACGCCGCCGCTCTGGCGGTGCGGAAATAGCGCGGTCCCCCCTTGCCCCGCTCGACAGCAACGCTTACCGAATGTTGCTCTCTTCGAGCCTCTCGAAGTGCCGCCGCGCTGCTGCAATATTGGCGAGCGCCGCGCGCGACTCTGGAGAGCATTGTCCACCGGTCAGTCAGTCCGAACCGCGTCCCACCGGCGGCCAACCCGACTGCGGAAGTAGACGTACGAATATCCGGATCCGAGACGACCATCATCAGGTACGTATTCGCCGTCAACATATCCAAGTAGACCGACACGCGGCCGTTGCGAATTTCCATGGCCTGGAACTGCGCGTGCGCCTTCATGCACGAGATCTTGAACTGCTTGATGATGTTGCTGATCTTTTCGAACCGGTGCGAGTCGAGCGGCGCTGCGACGGCGCTGCCGTCCTCGGTCGTCCATTTCGACACGTGCGAAATGACGAGGAACGTGGTTTTCTCGAAAAGAATGATTTCGTCGGCATCGGCCGCAGAACAGAACTTGTCGAGGTGCGCTTCGAGCAGGCGCACGTTCGGGATCAGCGCGTAGACGATCGAGGACCATGCCTGGTTTTGGAAAAGGGTCATGAGGACGGCGAGGTGGTGGAGAACGTGGGTGGTGGTTGGCAACGCACCTGGTACAGCGTCTCATCCCAAATCGACGTGCGGAAACAGGTTGTCTGGATCGGACTCGACCGGTGCTGGATCTGCGCGACGCGGTCCTCGAAAATCTAGATTCACACCACCAGGTCAGCGCGCGCGCTCCCCTAACCACACGCGCCACAATCCATTCCGTGCCGTACCCTGTCGCGCAAATCCTCGTGCACGAGATCCATCTTGTGAATCAGGCAAAACACCTTGGCGTCCTTCGAGTTTTGCTTGATCGCGTCGATGCACATTTGGTAGTACTCCATGTCGGCGTCGATCTCGCGCGACTCCACGTCGAACACGTAGATGAGCACCTCGACGTTGCGGAAAATGTGGTCGCGCTGCGAGGTAAAGTAGTTTTCCATGAAGGAGTGCTGGCTATCCATCCGGGTGCGCGCAGCTTATCAGTCGCATGCACGCAGGCCAGGATTGTTGGGGCCAAGGACGACGCACCCGCCGCAGTCCCACAGGTTGAGCACGAGGTTGCCGAGAAACCGGACCGACGCGTGCTCGACCTCGACTACATTGCGACGTGCGCATCAGCACAGTGTGGTTCATGGCGCTGGTGCCAACTGGAAGTTTGGTACTTGTCGCGCCGAGCCGCCGCGTGTCGCGCGCAATGTAGTTGGAAAAGATGATCGACCGCATCGACGTTTTGCCGGAACCGGACTTGCCCATCAAGAGCACTTTTTTCTTCATCGTGGATGGTTGAGGTGGTGCTGGCCAGTGCTGGTTGGTTGGTGGTCGCGGGTTG